TTTGAGCTAGAGTTTTTCGTGCATGTCGTTCCGCTGGATGTATCGTCTGAGTAGTTGTTTACGAGCAAAGCGAGGCATAGGTGGAGGTGATGTGAACTAGGGAGTGAAGTACTGGAACTGGATGTGAATTAGGAGATGAGTTGGGTAGATGAGCTTGTGCGGTGAGAGGACCGGTCGGGACCAAAAGAAAATGAAATCGAAGTTGAGGTGAGGTAGGGTGAGGTGAAGAATTGGGTAATCGGGGATTCAAAGTAGAGAAAAACTGAGAACGTTCTCCCAGTTTCCCAGTTTCACAATTACAGCCAAAATCGAAAACTGGGAAACTGGGAAAAAACGGGAAAAAACTCCCAGTTTCTACTTTGTATCCCCTAATTGTTAGTACACTTATCAATACGGACTGTAAAAATATGGAAAAATATGGAGAGTGAAGCTCTCACCGCAGGGAACAAGATGCATATTTTTATTTATTTTTTGCCCTTCTCCTGGCCTCTCAATATTTTTGTGTATCAATAATTTAATTTTCTGCCCAGAAAATATTATCTTTCTTGTAGTGTAACGTGTAGGGTATAAAGGATGATGTTCTATGTTGAGGTGTTTCTTGTTTCTGCAATCCATTCTCACTTGTAATCCTGTTGATATCAACTCGTGGTGGTTTGTTTATATCCTCATCATTTGAATCAAGTTTTTTTTTGAATTCTGAAGCTTAGACATGTCTCTTTTCTATCTCAAAATCTAGAAATAAGAATTATTTTAGATAAATTATCGTATGTTGAGGGCTTTGATAGATCTTTGGAATTCTTTTAGCTAGGGCTGATTAAGAGTTTGAATTGTTTCCCTAGTACTTCGAAACATGCCTTTACCTGTTGAACAACCTAACTGGTCTCCGAACACTGGTCTGAACCTCGCCAAGTCGTTACCCGGCCTTGTGAGGAGTTCCATAGTTTGGTACTGGTGTTGTGGATATCAACTGATGCCTTCAGCTAGTCTGGTGAATTTGGAGCGCGCCCGGTCACCTCGATGTTGAGTCACACTGCCTTGCCCAACCAAGGTGGTGCTAGTCTGGCCAAGGCTATGAACTCTGGCTCCCTAGCCAGTGCACATGATAGGCCAACTAGCCCAGTAAGTTGCTCTGTTTTTTACCGTATTGATGGCTGCTTGTTTCACATTAGGTGGTGGTCAAGTCAAGTGGATGAGTTCCTAACATTTTTCTAATTTAGATTCGTGCCCAGCTTCTCACTGGGGCCAGCGTGCCTTCGTCTCCACCGTCTATGATAGGTATTGGTAGACTTGGAAGGCCTCCGCCCTACACCCCCCCTGCTCGATCAGTCAGGTCAGCAACGATGGATGCCAACATACATCAACATCAAATTGGCCGCTTGGCTACACCATACATGAGTTCATCGGTAAGTCTCAAACTTTGGTTAGTTCATCTGATGGAGTCTACTAATGTGATGGATTTTGAGAAGCCCTCTGTGGCCTCACATCGTTCAGCTGGTGGTGATCTTAGGGTGTCTCAGAACAGTCATGAAGAGCATCCTCTTTCATACCCAACCAACGCTCACCTCGGTCGTATGTTGGAGATGGCACCGGGAGCAGTGTGGGCACCTGTTGGACGCACGTAAGTTTTCTTCATACCAAGTGTATACATATAGGTAAGGTGGGATGTCAGCTGAAGGTTATATCTATCTCTACCTTTGATTTAGCTATTTGTCTCGCGATGGTCCGGCTCCATCCTACTCACACGATACTTCACATCCACCCTGGAAATCAGGAGCCGACTACAATAGTATTACTGACTGGCGAAGTACAAGGGTTATCACTGATAACACTAGTGCACTCAGCTTTAACAACGTCTGCCGTGCTGCCCGGTCACTCAATGGCCTTGACCATAAAAGTGATCCATTGCCTTGGTGTCGAGACGGCCGCAACCCAGATCGTGAGGTGGCAGCTTCACAACAGTACGATTTGGATGTGACTCGACCAGTCCGGCCTGATTCTTCATCCGGTGAGGATGAGTGCTTGCGTTCGCTCTTGGATTCGGAAGATGACTCCGTCCAGGCCGGTCCATCAGGTGAGGCTATAGAAATATTATATTTTGTATCTGTTGATGACATACTGACTTGGTTTGACAAGCTCAACAATTACGCTCAGCTCGCATGCCATCATATAAAAATACCACTGAACATCCAACACCAGCTGTGATGTCAGGTAACACCTTGATCCGAAAGGTTTCGCCAGTGATGCATCGCGGTGATGTGTCTCAAACACCTTGGACTCGCCCTCGATTGAATCCGACTCATGATGTTGATCAAGAGTCTGAGGTGGATGAGCTTGACAAAAATGGTACGTGTCACCTCTCCTGATTGCAGATCTCACTTCAACTATCCATCATCCCCCACCTGTCCAAGCACATCTGAGCTCATTAACTGCCATTGATTGAATCGGTGAGATGGATCCCAAAGTCCGCTAAAGGGAGCTTCAACATCTTCAAAGGCAATTCAACCTCATGTAAAACACGGGAAATCCCCACCCAAAAGAAAAAAACCCACCAAAGACTGTGATTCGGTGTCCACTGGCTCTAATCGCTGGCACTGGGATGATCCGGGGGAGCTGGACTTAATCTGGCTTACCCACCTAATCGAATTCCAACCATTTTCTGTTTATAAAGAACAGACCGAGCGGTTTCATAAATGTACTCTTCATCTAAAGGCAAGTCGATTCACAATGATTTTGTTTTGATTAGCTCTATCTCTCAACTTTGACTGATATGGTCTTGGTACATACAGGAGCATCCTGACACACGCGATAGATTTCGCACGATGAACGATTCTAAAACCACTACGACTTTGAAAAATCGATTCAATCGACTCAAGGTTTGGGTCAGACAGGCAGATGCTGCCTCTGAGGCAGCAAGTGGAATCAATGAGGATGATGGTCCATTGCGTAAACTCATCAAGGAATTTCAGAATGAAGAAGAGGTAAGTCCTTCACTTCCTTTTCTCCACTGATTGTCTGATTTGACCATTGAAACTTCTCCTTACGTAGGAGATGATAACTGCTGTTAAAAAAGCTAAAGCCGCTAAAGAAGCTGCGGCGGCTGGGCTAGCTCAAGCAAATGACCTTCGTGACTCACGTGCGGCTAGAACCAATTCGGCACCGCTTCCTTCCCGACAAGACCTCAACGAAGATGAATCGGACGGAACCGAAGGTGACGAAGGTGCTCGCAGACCTCCTACCTCCCTTAGGGCCTTACGCGAGGGTTTGAGTCAGAAACTCCAAAGCAATGAAGGCATGACTCATATGGTTAATGTAACCCTCAAAAGTAGTCAAGCGGCTGAAAAGGCAAATGAACTTACCTTGATAGCTCTCGAACGCCATCAGCAACAGACTACAGTTACGAATTCCCAGCGCGAGAGAGAGTTGAGTCAGAGTCAAGCTCGCCTGGACCTTGACTCTGAGACTGCCCGCGAGACTCTTGCCTTGCGACGTGAAGAGTTGGCTGCCGCGCGCGAACGTAAGGACAAGAAAGATGTTCAAATTGAAGATCTCAAGTCATCAATGGGAAATGTTCAAGGGACCCTTAACGATATGGGACCGGTTCTCAAGCTTCTTGCTGAACACATTGCAGCTTCCAATAGCTCCACCTGATCAATTTGGAAATGGTATGTAATGCCTGATTGGAATTGTTTTCAATCAATCACCAAACTGACCATCACTGATTGCCTTTTTGACCTATCAAAACTGTGTAGCTTTTTATCGAGTCAAAACAACCCAACTTGTATCAGTTATATTTAACACTGATTGCATCTTGAAATCAGTCAACCCAATTATTTCATACTTTATCATTTCTTCTTAAAACTATTTCTTATCCCTTTGAGAGAATGTATCCCCCTCCAATCTATCCATCAACGATGAATGATAGTTCCAACATGTTATCTTTTTATATCACTTTGATTCAATTGGCCCCACTCAAAGATTATTTTGTTATTACACAATGACAATCTAATCCTTAAAAAGTACGGTATTTGAAGTTGACCATCAATCAACTTTCACGTGTTTGAGCAAACATTGGGACCAAAGCTCAGTGACAGCAGTGCTCATAATCTCACCTAAAAGTACATGATGCTTGTCCACAACATGAGCACCTATCCTGATTCCAGAAGACACTTTGTTCAGTTTGATCATATTTTCATATGTATTATTGTTTTCTTCGAAAGGAAATAGACAATTTGCTAAAGTATGACTGCATATATAAGATCATTCTGAAACTAAACGATTCAAGTGGACATGGAATAACAATCATCATTGATTGCTTGTTGTGAGAATGAAATGAAAGAGACTATCAAAAAAGGCAAAAAATCAAATCAAAGAGACAATATAGAAAAAGAATCAGGTTGAGGTAAGACAAGCAAACACAGAAAGAACAAGATAAAAATATATAAAAAACTAATATGATGATGAATGGGTGTTTATCACACACCATGCAATCGAACTAATGACCACTGAAGAGATACAAAACCCTGTTAAATTACCGATAACTCTTGCACAAGTTGAAGTAGCAGGAGAAAGAAAACTTGGATTCGAAGTAAACAAAGTAGTTTTGATTGAATGATTCGATGAGAGAGATTCAATCAATTTACATTTGATTTTGAATTTGAATTTAAATCAGTGGCAAATTGATTTTCTTCATGACTTTCATTCTTCATGGAGATATCTTTATATTGATCTTGATCTTGATGATCACAAAAATAAATCTTTTGACGAATCTGAGTTTGATAAGTTATGTAAGTCAGACCAGCTTCAACTTGAGATCGATTGATGAATCTGAGATCAATAAGTTATGTAGGTCAGACCAGCTTCAAATTGAGATCAACGAGGTTTCTGTAAGACCAATGTATATAAATCAAAGTGGCTTCAAATTGAGATCGATGAGTGTAAGACCATTGTATCTAAATCAGACCAGCTTCAAATTGAGATCGATGAGTGTAAGATCAATGTATATAAATCAAACTGGCTTCAAATTGAGATCGATGAGGTTTCTTCAAGATCGATGTATATAAAATAAACTGGCTTCAAATCGAGTTTGTTGAGTGTAAGATCAATTTATATAAATCAAACTGGCTTCAAATTGAGTTTGTTGAGTGTAAGATCAATTTATATAAATCAAACTGGCTTCAAATCGAGTTTGTTGAGTGTAAGATCAATGTGTATAAAATAAACTGGCTTCAAATCGAGTTTGTTGAGTGTAAGATCAATGTATATAAATCAAACTGGCTTCAAATTGAGTTTGATGAGGTTGCTGTAAGAAGAATGTATTTGAGATCGTCGAGATTTCTTTAAGATAGATGTATATAAGTCAGACCAGCTGAGAATTGATATCAATGGTTTGAGATCTTGTAGAATGAAAGCGAGCAGAGTTCAAGAACAAGAAAGCTGGTAGGCTTTTCAATCTGTCAACTTGTATATATAAAGACAGGTCAAACCCCATCATGTTGAGCCATACGTCGGCCACCTAAATACACCTCCAATGAAGGAGGTGCTGCGACCCCATTTAGCGGGCCTCGACCACAACACACTAAAAAGTTCTTCAAAAGTACAGCGCAGTGATAAAGCGAGTTGAGGTCGCTTACATAGAATCAAAGATTACCTAAGTCACCAAAGAAGCTGCTCAATCAATCGGATACTTATCTGCTCTTGATATCAGGATCACTTGCCTTTATACTGAGTCATGCGTATGAAGTTTGTTGTGCGACCAAATTCATGCTCGACAGCAATTCGACAAGTGGCCATTAGAGTATTGAATCGTGCTTGATGTGGACGAAGATGGATACCTCGATACGGTGTCAGCATGACCGGCGAATTCTGATATCCTTGATCGCCGTAGATCATCATTTGTCGGCCCCCAAAGCCTTTTGCATCCCGCTCTAAGACCTCCCTCAATCCCGATAACCTCAAGATGGCAGTGTCGTGGCGTGATCCGATGTATGCCGGCGTTAGATCCGCAGTGATTCCGCTACCAAACCAACCAAAAGTTTGTCAGCTAAGACTTAATGAAACAATCAAATGAAAACACAACTTACTCGGGGGTAACCACAGCCTGATATTTGAGACTGTGAACTCGCTTGTGGCCATTGTAAAAAGCGCGCTGGTTGAATTTTGGTCGGGAAATTTGCCACACCGTTCCTAACAGCAAGGTAACTAGTCATGAGAAACATTAAGGTGTTCAAGGATAGACTGAATACTTACCATCTACAAATCCCACACAGTTATCCATCGGGCAATTTCTTGACTCAACCAGCGATGCGGCAAAATCTTCCAAGACAGCGGGTGGATAACGGCGAGCATCCCATCGCAATAAATGCCCCCAATTCTCACACATCCATGCTTGCACCCATCGACAGATTCGGCCGATAGTTGAAACATCACGGCCAAAAAGTTGAGCAAGGTCGAAATATCGAGACGGAGTTGCCAATCTCGCCATATAGATGGCAAGAGCTGTAGTACCAACTTCTCTAGCTCGATTCGGCAGGACAACTGATTCTGGAAAGCCACCCCAGTGGTGGATCTCCAATAACTCGTCCGGATAAAATCTCGTGGTAAGTTTGCAGATGTGAGGATGCCATGTCTCGACGTTAACACGGCGATCCGTCAAGTCGGGTAGTGGCTCACCTCCCAATCGTTCGATATACATCAGGTACAGTAGGATATGTTCGAGTTCGTTGGTCTCGTAGGTATGCCACAAGGCGAGCATCAACGTCGAGGTAGCAAGAGCTGGAGACCTGGAAAGTGGGAGTCCGTTTGGGTGGAAGAGGATGTTGTCTTGCATGTTGTCGAGAGGCAAATAGAGGGAAACTCTTGGATATCACTAGGTCTCAAAATGTTACGGCCAAAGCTCAGCATTCATGAAGGCCTTTCATCCATCGTAACATCTCAATCAATCATGGAATTATATAGGTAGGCGAGTGACATCTAGTAGGATGTCACTCGCGCTCTAGATGAACTTTCGGGCTCTTCCTTGCCAATCCAAAAGTCAAAAACCACTCTGACAGTGGAATTCCTAGTGATAACGCTCGACATTCGGCCCGAACTGCGCCTGGTCCTTACTGGACCGCACGTTCCCTTGGTATCCCAGCCCGTTTCGATTGAGCGCTAATGCGCCGCAGTTTTGGGTTCCCCAACGTCACGTCACCGGACTTCTCCGATCATGCGCAGCGGTATAAAGAAACCCACGCGGTCAATTTGGGATCCACTTTGTCCCACTTCCTCAACTCATCAACAATCCTGTCAGATCATCAACTCCAGGCTGTTCTCCCCACCCACAAATTTCCTATATCCTACAATATATCCATCATGACCGTCCGAATTGGAATCAATGGTTTCGGTGAGCAATCCGCTGGTATCGTCTCTCGTCATCATTGTCTCTGACTCTCGGACTGTCCTGCCTCCCTTTTTTCTCCTTGCCTTTTTACTCAATCTCTCAGGTCGTATCGGTCGAATCGTGGCTCGAAATGCTATCATCCACGGTGATGTAGAGATTGTTGCGTCAGTCACTATTCTGCGATCGACCTTGTTTGTCCGTTTGAACCCTTATCATTGGCTTGTGTTTATAGCATCAACGACCCCTTTATCGACCTTGAGTACATGGTAAGCCCATCATGATCAGTCTTGGTCTTGGCTTCATACCTTCATGACCCTCTCTTAAATTCACAGGTGTACATGTTCAAGTACGACTCAACCCACGGTAAATTCAAGGGAACCGTCTCCACTTCGGGCGGCAAGCTTTACATCAACAACAAAGCTATCGATGTTTACTCTGAGCGAGATCCCACTGCTATCCCTTGGGGTAAATCTGGTGCCGATTACGTTGTCGAATCAACTGGTGTTTTTACTACCAAAGAAAAGGCTGGGGCTCATCTGAAGGGTGGTGCCAAGAAAGTCATCATCTCTGCCCCCTCAGCTGACGCCCCCATGTATGTCGTGGGTAAGCCATCACAATTCTTTTCGATACACCTTTACCTTGTACCATGATTGATCTGATGCAATTTTTACCCCTCAGGTGTTAACCTTGACTCCTACGACCCGAAGGAGACCGTCGTCTCCAACGCTTCCTGTACAACAAATGTGTGTCTCACGTTGTCCGCTCAGTCTTTCTAAATGTTGACGCTAGGCTTCTCTTCCCAGTGTCTTGCACCTCTTGCTAAGGTCATCCATGACAAGTACGGGATTGTTGAAGGTCTCATGACCACTGTCCACGCCACGTGGGTATTTCTTCACCAATCTCGTTATCAATATAAAGGCTAATCGTCTATGCAACTCAGTACTGCGACGCAAAAAACTGTGGATGGTCCATCTGGTAAAGATTGGCGTGGTGGTCGAGGTGCTTCTGCCAACATCATTCCTTCCGGCACTGGTGCTGCCAAGG